ATCTTCTAACGACTCCCTGATGCCTAAGGGGTGATCCTTAGGACGCTTTCGTTGTAAATGAAACCCGATTCCAGTTGGTTCCTTTGGGCCCCGAGAACCAAGCGGTCCAGTGGTGGGCGGGGGCCTGGTGCGGTTCGATCCAGCCGCTCTCCGGGCCACGTGCTCCCAGGGCAGCAGCCTCCCGCTTTCCACACCGGACGGCGCGTCCTCTTCTCACCACCAGTGGAGTGGGGGCGCCCTCCGTGGAAGGACCAGGCCACACGCACACGGAGCCGGTGGAGGGGAAGGACTGCAGGAGCCGTCGGGGCCAGTGACGGGAACCTCTGAGCTCGCGTGTCAGCATTTTGAAAAACCCTGACTTCACTCTGGTGCCGTGTCACATGTAGACATTTTTTTGGTATTTGCAACCATAGTAAAACAAAGACATATTTTTGATATTTATTTTATATATTTAAATGCCATTTAACAAAGAAAAATCAACCAAAAACTGAGTTCGCGTGTCACTTCTGACACGCGTGTCATAGGTTCGCCGTCACTGGTCTAGGTCCTGGCCTGGTCCGTCGGCGCTGCCCTGAGGCTGCGGCTGGGCCAGCCCTGCCTGGACCCTGGTGGGGCCTCAGCTGGACGCAGGAGTGCGTGTCCTCACCCGCGACCACTCACCTGGGCGGGGGGTGTTCTCAGTGGCTTTCCTTAGGTTTGAGCAAGAAAGATCTTGGGCAAAAGCTGGCTTTTTTCAGCTTCCATGTTTTCATGGCATAAATGCTCCTCGTTCATCGTAGAGAAATAGCAGGTTCAGTGACGCAGCGGGAAGAGGGAGGAGGGAGCCGGCGGTGCCCCAGCCACCACTCCGCCCAGCGCAGGCAAACCCCCTGCCGCCTCGGCGGGCGCGTGGGCATCAAGCCAGTCCTGGTGGCCTTCGCGCCCGCCCGCCCGCTCCCCTCCTGTGGCTGCCCCCACGCTCACCGCCCTCTCTGCACCCTCTCTTCTCTCCCAGGCAGCCCTGGTTTTACGGCTGGGGCTTTAACCTCCCGCGAGGACAGGCCCTGCTGGAGAAGTGGAACCTCATCCCCGAAGGCGTGGACATCCTCATAACCCACGGACCCCCGCTGGGTAAGAGTCAGCCCAGCCCCAGCCCAGCCCAGCCCCAGCCCCAGCCCCAGCCCCAGCCCAGCCCAGCCCAGCCCCAGCCCAGCCCCAGCCCCAGCCCAGCCCACCCCAGCCCCAGCCCAGCCCCAGCCCAGCCCCAGCCCAGCCCCAGCCCCAGCCCAGCCCCAGCCCCAGCCCAGCCCCAGCCCCAGCCCCAGCCCAGCCCCACCCCAGCCCCAGCCCCAGCCCCAGCCCAGCCCCACCCCAGCCCCAGCCCCAGCCCCAGCCCCAGCCCCAGCCCAGCCCCAGCCCCATGCTATCCCTCTGCAACCCTCTGTGGCTCCCTCAGCCCTTTACAATGAAGTTCAAACTCCTGGCAGTTCAGCCCAGACCAGCTTCTTCCTCCCACCACAGCCTCTGTTGAACCTGCCACCCCTCCCTTGGTTCTTGGGGGCCAGGCTAGGCCTGGGCGACGCTGGACCAGGGGCTCACCTGATGCAGAGCTTGCATCCAGGGCTCCCAGGCCACCGGGTGGAGGGCCCAGAACGCCCCAGCCCAGTGAGACAAGTTCAGGGGCTCAGGAAGCCCGAGAGCAGAGGCAGAGACAAAGGCTCTCAGAGGGGCTGGGGAGCTTGCGGAGGAGGGGACCACAGAATGGGGTCTCGGGGAGGCAGGGAAGGGAGGGAGAGGGGGGCGTCCCAGACGGGAGGGGCCCAGTGCAGCTGGAGGCATTCACTCACACACTTGTACAGGAAGGAGCTGCCCTACTGTGTGCCAGGCGCCCAGCCAGTGCCCACAGAGTGCTGAGAGGAAGGCTTCGCTATCCCTGTTTTCAGATGGAGGAGCCTCAAGTCCCAGGCCCTGGTAGGGTTTAGGGGCAACACAGCAGATTGTAACCCAGGTCACACGACCAGTGGGGCTGTGTGAGCCCCACCGGAAGCTTGCTGATCACACCCATCGTGTGGGTCGCTGGTGGGGCTCTGGGGCAGGGTGTCCTCCTTCCCCGCCTCCCTCTCTCCTTCCCTCTCTCCTTCCCTCCCTCCTTTCCATCCCTCAGTCCGTCCGTCCAAACAGTATCTTTGGGGGTCCTGCTCCCCGGCTGCCTCCCCACACCCGCTTCACACACAGCACACAGCGCCTGTTGTGGGAACGCCTGTGTGCCCAGCCCAGCCGCCGGTGGATGCGTCGCTGAATGAAACCAAGGCACAGAGCGGGCACATGACTTACCCAAGGTCACACGGCCAGTGGGTCCCCGGTCCCGGTCCCGGGGCCTAAAACCCAGGCGTCTGCCCCAAGCCTACTCCCTGCCCACTTCCCGCCTCTTCTCTTCTCTCCTTCCTCCCCTCCCTCCTCCTCCCTCTCCTTTCGTTCTCTCGCTGCCTCAGCCTCTCTCCCTCTGTCTCGCTCATCTTCAAGTCAGCGTGTGTTGCCGCCTGCCTGATTCTTTGAGTCGAGGGACCGTGTCGCCCCCCCCCCGCCCCCGCCCCCGGCAGTTGTGAAAGCCCGTTGCGCCCACCCAAACAGGGGCCCGGGATGGGCCGGGGTGCCGTCTGGAGCAGTCAGCTTGGCTTTGTTTGTGTAGCCATGTGCGGATAACAAGCAGCTGCCATATGGGCCGCCCGGGAGGCGGGCGCCGGCAGACCCAGGCGCTGCGGGAGCCGCACGGATGCCGCTCGTTTTCATGCTTTTGTGATGTTTGTTTAGAAAGTTTCCGACGTGGAAGTCTCGCTCCCGGTTCCTCGCCGCGGCTGGCACGGGGGCGCCCTGGTCTCCCGTCCCCTCAGGCTTCCGTTTGCTGGTCTCTGCCGCGGGTGGTGGCCACCCTGGAGGCCACTTTGAGCACGAATGGTCCGGGGCTCCCGTGTTCCAGCACCCCACCCCGCCCGCCCGCCCCGGCTCTGGGAAGCGTGGCTGTGTGTGGCCGCGGGGGGGGGGGGGGGGGGGGAGGGGCTGGCTGGGAGAGCGTGGGTGCGGGAGCTACGCCCAGGCCGGTGAGTCCAGAGGCCGCGGTCTCTGAGGTGGCGAAGGCTGCCGCTGGGGTCTGCGGTGAGCGAATGCCTCACTGCCCCCGGCTCTCTCCCCCGCTCAGGCTTCCTGGACTGGGTCCCCAAGAAGATGCAGCGGGTGGGCTGCGTGGAGCTGCTGAACACGGTGCAGAGGCGCGTCCAGCCGCGGCTGCACGTCTTCGGCCACATCCATGAAGGTCAGCATGTGGGGCGGGGAGGGGACCGCACATACCGGGCGCTCCTCACTGGCTCTTCACAACGGCCATCTCGCCTCCCTGCGGCCTAGTGACCTCCTCCCTGATTGCTCTGGTAGAGGAAGATGGCCCATTGGTGGTGGTGATGGTGGTGGTGGTGGTGATGGTGATGGTAGTGATGATGGTGATGGTGATGATGGTGATGGTGATTGTGATGGTGATGGTGATGATGGTGATGGTGATGGTGATGATGGTGATTGTGATGGTGATGATGGTGATGGTGATGATGGTGATGGTGATGGTGGTGATGGTGATGGTGATGGTGATGGTGGTGGTGGTGGTGGTGGTGGTGATGGTGATGATGGTGATGGTGATGGTGGTGGTGGTGGTGGTGGTGGTGGTGATGGTGGTGATGGTGATGGTGATGGTGGTGGTGATGGTGGTGATGGTGGTGATGGTGGTGATGGTGATGGTGATGATGGTGATGATGGTGATGGTGATGGTGGTGGTAGTGGTGGTGATGATGGTGATGATGGTGATGGTGATGGTGATGATAGTGATGGTGATGGTGATGATGGTGATGATAGTGATGGTGATGGTGATGATAGTGATGGTGATGGTGATGGTGATGATAGTGATGGTGATGGTGATGGTGATGGTGATGATAGTGATGATGGTGGTGATGGTGGTGATGGTGGTGGTGATGGTGGTGGTGATGGTGGTGATGATGGTGATGGTGATAGTGATGATGGTGGTGGTGGTGATGGTGGTGGTGGTGGTGGTGGTGGTGATAGTGATGATGGTGATGGTGATGATGGTAATGGTGATGATGGTGATGGTGATGATAGTGATGGTGATGGTGATGATGGTGATGGTGATGATAGTGATGGTTATGGTGATGGTGATGATAGTGATGGTGATGGTGATGATGGTGATGATGATGGTGGTGATGGTGGTGATGATGGTGGTGATGGTGATGGTGATAGTGGTGATGGTGATGGTGATAGTGATGATGGTGATGATAGTGATGGTGATGGTGATGGTGGTGATGGCAATGGTGGTGGTGGTGATAGTGGTGATGATGGTGATGGTGGTGATGATGAGATTGGTGATGGTGATGATGGTGATGGTGGTGGTGATGGTGGTGGTGGTGGTGGTGATGGTGGTGGTGATGGTGATGGTGGTGGTGATAGTGGTGATGATGGTGATTGTGATGGCGATGGTGGTGGTGGTGATGGTGATAGTGGTGATGATGGTGATGGTGATGGCGATAGTGGTGGTGGTGATGGTGATGGTGATGGCGATGGTGGTGGTGGTGATAGTGGTGATGGTGATGGCGATGGTGGTGATGATGGTGATGGTGGTGGTGGTGATGGCGATGGTGGTGGTGATGATGGTGGTGGTGGTGGTGATGGTGATGGCGATGGTGGTGGTGGTGATGTCAGTGCTGATGTCTCACTGTGTGCTTGCCAGGCTCTGAGCAGAACACGTGGATTATCTCATTTGCTCCTCACAGCAGCCTTGGGAAGAGCATCTGTCACTGTCACCTGTATTTATAGATGAAGAGACTAAGCTGAGAGTTTCAGTAGTTTGCCCCAGACAGACGCAGCCCATGGTGGCGAGTGCCCTGACTCCTGCCCCCAGCAGACGGCGCTTACTGCTCCCGGTCCTGGCCCTGCCCCTCAGGCTTGACAGGTGTGTGCTTACTTTCCAGGGTACGGTGTCATGGCGGATGGGACCACCACCTATGTGAATGCGTCCGTGTGCACCGTGAACTACCAGCCCGTGAACCCACCCATCGTCATCGACCTGCCCACGCCCCGGAACTCCTGACTGCCCCCGCTGTCGCGGCCCTCCCACCCGCCGCAGCTGCGTGTGCCTGGCTGAGAGCACGGACCCCCGCCGCCCCCTTCCATGCAGACAACCCGTCTGGCCGCGGGGACCAGCCCCGCAGGTGCATCGAGGCCTTGGAATGAAGCACCTCACCCCTGACGCTCCAGCCTCTGTCACCTGGAGTCGGGACCCGTGGGTCTTGGGGGTTCTGTGTTTGTTGCTGTTTCCGCGTGGATTCCGTGTCCCTCGGTGCAGGACCGACCAGCGGTGGCCTGTTGTGCTGGGGAAGGGCCTGCGCTTCATCCTTCGCCGCCGGCCGCCTTCGTGGGGGTTCTGGACGGACTGTGGAAGTTCTTGCACAAAGCCTCCCTCTAGCCAAGGGTCCGCGTGGCTGCCGCGTGGCTGGGTGGGTGGGAGGTTGTATCGTCGGGACGAGCAGCCCTCCTCCGCTCCCAGGCTGCAGAGGAGGCGCCCTGCTGCGCCGCGCCCGGGAGTGTCCGCAACGTCTCGGGAACGCGACTGCCCTGGAGGCCGGCGCACCGCGGCCCGCGTGGCTCTCGTGGTTCCCGTGGTTCCACCGCGGCCCGCGTGGCTCCCCTTTGCTCCTGTGGGCGTCTTTGCTGACGCTCACTCGCTCGGAGCCTGGGTGATTCAGGGGGGTTGGTTCTACAGAACGAGCCCGGGACCGGCTGCAGGGCTGCCAAGCCACGGACGAGGCCTGGTCCCACGGGGGCTCCGCTGGTCTGCAGAACTCGGCAGCCTGGAGGGCCCACAGGCCGAGGCCACCCTGCCACGCGTGTGCTCAGGCTGGCGTGCACCGTGCACACGCATGCACACACATGCACACCCCTCTTAATTTAACGAGCGGATCCCATGCTTCTCATTGCCGTCCTCGAATGCCCCCCGCCGTGGGTTTCCCTCATGCTGGTGGGATTCCACCCGGCGCGCCCACAGCGGAGGATGGCCGAGTGGGTCATGGACCTCGTCCCAGCGCCAGCTGGCCCATAGCGGGAGGTGGCACGTGACAGCACAGGCCCCGGGCACAGGGGTCTCCCTTTTCTTTTTAAAAATCAGGACTGGGGGGGGGGGCCTTGGGCTGAATCTCTGAGGGAGGGGCAGCCGGCAGGGCCTGGCGGGGAGCGGCGAGGGAGGCAGGGTGGGCACGCGCAGCCTCAGGTCTGTCTTCGTTTATAATTTGGCTCTTTTGTTCATCATGGATGTTTTTGCATCGACTTTGATTTTTAAAAATATTGCATTAAAATAGTATCCATTAGCGTCCTCACTGAGGTTTTGGGTAACCCCTTAAATTGTGCACCCGAGAGGAGAGACCGACTCGCCTCCCCCCAGTCCCAGCCCAGGAACCAGCATGTAATGAGCCCTTTGCTGTTACATCTCAGTCAAGCCTGCAAGGTGGGTACTGTTGGTCCCATTTTAGAGATGGAGATAGAGCCCAGAGAGGGAGGTAACTTGCCTGGGGCTGCACAGCTCAAAAGGGGCAGAGGCAGGATCTGAACCTTGCTTTCCCCTCCCCCCCCCACCCCCCCAACGCTCCACCCTGCAAGGCAATGCGTGTCCAAGGTTCTTGTTTTTGGTAACTTACGGTCCCGTTTAGACCTGTCTGGTTCATTTCTCATGGCGCCCCGCAGCCCTGAGGGTGCTGTCCCCGCATCCTGGCATCCCCAAGACCCGGATTCCTTCCTACGCGGGCGAGGCTCCCTGTGGGGCTCGGGGCACCGTGGGGGCAGCCACACCGCACTGGCCCAGGTCAGCTTCGCGCTTTGGGGGCAGGGCTTCAGGAGCCCTGTTTGGCCCAAGTGGTTCCTGGCGGCTGGGGTGTTCACGAGGTCCCGGGGGTGCCCCAGACGCATGGCGTGTGTGCGGAGTTGGGGGGGGGGGGGAGACACAAGGCCCTTTCAGTTGCCTCTACTGCATTTCTATGTGGACCAAGATCTATAAACTTAAAAAAAATTTTCCTAAAGTATCTTCAGAATAGGGTGTATTTTTATGTGGAGAAGACGTTACGAAGGCAGCTGTTACTTTAAGAGAAAATGCATTAGAAGTCCTTGAGCTACGAGAGCTGATGCGTGCTCCTCAACCATTTTGGCATACCTTGATTGTGGCTGTAATTTTTTTGTCAAGCATGTCAGACAATAAAGTCTTTGTAAAAAGAGAGAAGTCCGCGCAGTGCCTCTTCTGTGTCTCTGTCGTGGGGGGCACGTGGGACAGGGGCAGCGTCCTCCCGTGGATCCTGGGTCCTGGGACCTTCCTTGCACGGTCAGCGAAGGGTGCCCTTCTGCTCGCTCCAGCTCCCTGCGGGGGGGGGGGGGGGGGAGGGGAGTCTCAGAGGTGGTTGGCAGGGGCAGTTCTGTGCCCTGTTGTGTTCAAATACCTTCCGGGTATTAGCATGTGCGACCCCACTCTTGCCAACCTGGGGTCCAGGTGTTGCCCAAGAAAAGCACTGGCAGGTATAGTGACTCCAGGCTCAAAGCTCCCTAAGCTGCAAAAATCCTGCCACTTTTAATCATCGAGTCATCAATACACCCATCCACTCACCTACCCATTGACCCATCCATCCACCATCCACCCATCCATCCATGCATCCATGCATCCATCCATCCACTGTCCACCTATCCATCCATCCATCCATCATGCACCACCCATCTATCCATTCATCCATCCACCATCCACCTATCTATCCATCCATCCATCCATCCATCATCCATCCACCATCCACCCATCCATCCATGCATCCATCCATCCATCCACTGTCCACCTATCCATCCATCCATCATGCACCACCCATCTATCCATTCATCCAACCACCATCCACCTATCTATCCATCCATCCATCCATCCATCCATCCACCATCCACCCATACATCCATGCATGCATGCATGCATCCATCCATCCATCCACTGTCCACCTATCCATCCATCCACCATCCATCCATCCACCCATCCACCATCCACCTACCATCCATCCATCCATCCATCCATCCATCCATCATCCATCCATCATTCATCCATCCACCCATCCACCATCCATCCATCCATCCATTATCCATCTACCATCCATCCATCCTCCATCCATCAGCCACCTATCCATCCATCCCATCCATCCATCCATCCACCATCCACCATCCATCCACCATCCACCTATCCATCCACCATCCATCCATCCACCCATCTAACCATTGACTCATCCATCTACCATCCATCTATTCATCCATCCACTTACCTATTGACTTATCCATCTATCTGTCCATCTATCCATTCACCTACCCATCCACCCACCCATTCACTCCACACACTCACTGAGCACCTCCTGCGGGCCTGGCTTGGACTAGGGAGATGGCAGTAGTGCTGCTGACAGGGCTGGGAGGTAGGTTGGTGAGGAATGGATGTGGGGTGTGGGGATGGGGCAGGGGTGGGCAAACTTTTTGACTTGAGGGCCACAATGGGTTCTTAAACTGGACCGGAGGGCCGGAACAAAAGCATGGATGGAGTGTTTGTGTGAACTAATATAAATCCAAAGTAAACATCATTACATAAAAGGGTACGGTCTTTTTTTTTTAGTTTTATTCATTTCAAACGGGCCGAATCCGGCCCGCGGGCCGTAGTTTGCCCACGGCCGGGATGGGGTGAGGGAGAGCTAAGATGGCAACGGATGTTGGGTGCCAGCACGGAGGCGGAGCATGGGAGCAGAAAGAGGAGGCTTGAGGAGGGGCGGGTGTCCGTGGGATATGCAGGGAGGTTTCTAAAATATATATTTTTTTATTGATTTCAGAGAGGAAGGGAGAGAGAGGGAGATAGAAACATCAATGATGAGAGAGTCATTGATCAGCTGCCTCCTGCACATCCCACACTGGGCATGTGCCCTGACCGGGGATCGAACCCTGACCTCCTGGTTCATAGGTCGACGTGGAGGTTTTAGGGGGGGCTCCCAGGGGAAGATCTCAACAGAATATTCAGCAGGTGATTCCTTTCAGGGACCAGCTCCACTGTGGATGGGGTGGCGTCAGGGCAGGGGTCGTTACTCCGGGCAGCGGGTGTGAGGGCAGGCATGGCAGCCTATCCGGGCCTGGAGCTGAAATGCAGCCGAGGCCTGAATGTGACCTGAAGGAAGGGAAGGTCGGGGGGTCTAACCCGCATGGCCAGCCACAGATCCTCGAGGAGGCGTGTGGTGGGCGTCAGACAGACCCGAGCAGGACAAGTGGATCGGCCAAGCACAGGCGGTCAGCAGGGCAGAAAGCCCCGGGGGCCCAGCACCAGGGGGGACCTTGACCCCGGTGACCTTCTCTCCCATCCATCCAGCCAGCCAGCCAGCCAGCTTTCAGTTACCGTGACATATATAAATCTTGCTGAGCTTTTTGTTGCGACTGTAGAGAATTTACAGATGAAAGAAGGGAGAGTGATATTTTTAGAACGCTGGGTCTCGTGATTCACGCCAACCATTCCCCTCTCCGTTTATTTAAGTCTTTGATTTCTTTCACCCACGCTCGCATTTTTTCATCACAGAGATTTCGTACACAGTTTGTTAGATTTGTACCTAAGTGCTTCACTGGGGGAGGGGTTCCCATAAACAGCAGTCACAGGCCAGCGGTCCGCTGTGGGTGCAGAGGCAGAGGATTCGCGTTTGCATGTGTCACTCAGTGTTTTTGGTGGGCTCTTCGCAATTTCCCGTGTCGGTGGCCACCGCTCCTGCAGCCAAAGACAGTTTTCTTTGTTCCTTTCTGTTTTTATTTTTTCTTGCCTTATCGCCCTGGCTAGGACCTTCGGCGTGATGATGCGTACGAGGGCGGGCATGCTGGCCTTGCTTCTGATCTTCGGGGAAAGCATGGCGCTCTCACCATTCACTCTAATGTCAGCTGGAGGTTTTTGTGAATGCGTTTTATTCAGTTAAGGAAGTTCCTTTATGTTCCCGGTTTGTTAAAGTTTTTCTTAGGAATTGACGCTGAATTGGGCCCAGTGCCCCCTGTGCATCTGTTGCGATGGCTTTGCTGTGCGAGGTCTGGGCGGGGATCCCGGAGCTCCTTGGACATGCAGCTTCACGTTTCCCCGGTTTGGGAACTTTTCCCTCTTTCCTTCGGGGACCCTCCCCACGGTGTGATCCCCACAGGTCTGAGGCTGTGTTCATTTCTTTTCTTCTCCGTTGTTTTAAGACCAGATAATCTCATTCACCTATCTTCGAGTTTTCTATGAAATTATTCTATAAAACTATTTCTCCTTATTTCTGAAGGCTATTTTGCTAATTATAGAATTTTCCCCGCTGTTTTTTTCTCTTCGCATTCAATCTGTGTACGTGTTTTCTTCAAACTCACGCGTCTTTCCTTGTGTTGTCTACTACGGAGCCTGCCAAAGGCAGTCTTTCTCTCTCTTACTGTTTTTCGTTTTAACACCTGACTGGGACTCGGGGCCTGGGTAGAGGAGGGATGGTGGCGCCCGCTGGGCCGCTCGGCCTCCTGGCTTTGACTCAGGGCACTGGGGCCCACCCTCCTCAGCCCCGCACGGAAGTCCTGTCCGGAGGTCTGAGGCCAGGCTCTGAGCTTAGGGCTGGGGCTCCTCAGGCTCCCCTTGATGAGGGCCCCCCAACCCTCTCTTCCGATTGTGCCTACGGGCTGGGCGCCCCCGCAGCAGGCGTGTGTGGCTCTGGGCCAGGCTCGGAGGTGCTGGCCGGCCTGGGGATGGCTGCTCCCAGAGGGAGGCAGGGCAGGACATGGGCTCTGCTTCTGCAGATGCAGAAACAGGCGCGGCCCAGGGAGGGGGGCTGCACAGGCCTGGGAAATTCCTCCCTAAGAAAGAGGAGCTGCTGGGCTGAGGGGGTCCCGGCCACCTACCCCGCAGAGCCCCTCAGCCTCCTCCCATGCCCCTGCCAGGCTGGTAGGGGGGGGGCTGAGAGACAGGAGCAAGGAGCTGCCTCCCGCCCCCCTCAGGCCGCCCTCCACCGCCACATGCCCACAGGCTCTCCCTCCGCCCGGCTGCACGCGCCAGGGCTGTGGCTGGGGGACAGTGGGCTGGCGTGGCCAGCAGGGCCCGGCGCCCTCAGGACCCGCAGCTCCGACTCCTGCTTCCTGACAACCCGCTAGCGCCATGGAAGGGAGAAGCCGCCAGGCACCACCCAGCCCAGGGGCTGCTCTCCGCTCCCCGGGGCTGGGGCACTGGGTCCGCTGGCGCCCCTCCCTCAGCAGGAAGCACCACCTGGACGTCCTCGGACCCGGACCGCACACTCTGGCGGGAAGCCTATCTCCACGCTGCAGCGAGGCACACAGCCCAGTTTCTGAGGAAGGTTCCCTCCTGAAATGGCCGCTGGTGGGCGCTTCCAGTCATGGCCAGCTCAGTGGCCGGGGGCAGGGGGCAGCACATGGCAGATGCAGGGCAGGTGCAGATGCAGGGCAGGTGGGGCAGGTGCAGGGCAGGGGGGTAGGTGCAGGTACAGGTGCGGGGCAGGTGCAGATGCGGGGCAGGTGCGGGTGGGGGGCAGGTGAGGATGTGGGGGAGGTGCGGGTGTGGGGCAGGTGCAGGTGACGAGCAGGTGCAGGAGTGGGGCAGGTGTGGGGTAGGTGGGGCAGGTGCGGGTGGGGGGCAGTTGCGGGTGTGGGGCAGGTGTGGGGCAGGGGCAGGAGTGGGGCAGGGGTAGGAGTGGGGCAGGGGCAGGTGTGGGCAGGGGCAGGAGTGGGGCAGGGGTAGGAGTGGGGCAGGGGCAGGTGTGGGGCAGGGGCAGGTGTGGGGCAGGTGAGGGGCAGGTGGGGCAGGTGAGGGGCAGGTGAGGGGCAGGTGCAGGTGAGGGGCAGGTGCAGGTGACGTGCAGGTGAGGGGCAGGTACAGGTGTGGGGCAGGTGCGGGGCAGGTGGTGCAGGTGCGGGGCAGGTGGGGCAGAGGCCCAGGTCTGTCCAGGACTAGGAAGCGCTGGGGGTTGGAGGGGGAGGGAACCTGTGTCTCCGGCCCCCAGCAGGCTCTCAGGAAGAAAGCTCCAGCCTGGGGGATGAGGGGGGAGGGGGGAGGGGGGAGGGGGAGGGGGGAACGGGGTGGGGTGTCTTTCAAAGCCTCCTGAGCCCTTTCTGCAGAGGAAACATCTTTATTTGCTCAGACTAGTGAGCGGCCTGAGGATCGGGCGATGTCGGCCGCCCGAGAGGCGGTCCCAGCGCGGGGACGGAGGGCAGTGCGGAGCCGCTGACCGCGAGGACGCAGGCTCGGGGGGCTGTCTGGTTCCCGGCGACAGTCTGACCGTTCACGAGGCCCCGGTTACGGGTCTGGTTCGGCGTGGGCGCGGCCGGCTCGCCGTGTCCGGGGCGCGGGCGCCTACTGCAGGAAGGCCCGCAGGAAGTCGTTGTAGGAGAGCCTGGAGGACAGCGTCTTGTCGTAGTACTCCAGGATGTGGAAGAACTCCTCCTCCGACAGGTTGATGCTGTACTGCCGCAGCACCTGCGGGAGCGGAGCCAGGTGGGCGGGTGCCACGATGCTGCCTCCAGCGTGTCCCCCTCCAGCGTGTCCCCCTCCAGTGTGCCCTCCCCCTCCAGTGTGCCTCCCCTCCAGTGTGCCCTCCCCTCCAGTGTGCCCTCCCCCTCCAGTGTGCCTCCCCTCCAGTGTGCCCTCCCCTCCAGTGTGCCCTCCCCCTCCAGTGTGCCTCCCCTCCAGTGTGCCCTCCCTCTCCAGTGTGCCCTCCCCCTCCAGTGTGCCCTCCCCTCCAGTGTTCCTCCCCTCCAGTGTGCCTCCCTTCCAGCGTGCCCCCCTCCAGCATGCCTCCCACCTCCAGTGTGCTCTCCCTTCCAGTGCACCCTCCCCTCCAGTGCACCCTCCCCTCCAGTGTGCCCTCCCACTCCAGTGTGCCCCCTGCAGCCCTCACCCCCTCCTCTTCTCTCCCCCATTTTCTCTCGTGAGGGCATTAGAGACAGCACAGTCAGACTGTAGAGGGCACTGCTCAGCCAGACCCTGCCCTGGGGGTGAGCGTGCTGCCTTGGAGGCAGCTGGGGGCATGGGGCGCCCCTGAGGCAGGGCCAGGCTGCCGGCCTCTGCGTGTCCACAGCTGGGACCTCGCGTCAGCCCCTCCGATTCTGTTCTGTGGGTCCTGTGAGGCAAACGGGGCTCTGGGTCCCCACAGAGGCCAGGGCAGGCCCGCCGGGGGCCAGGGGCAGCTGGCTCCGGGGTGGGCCCTGAGGGGTGTCCCCAGGGGGTACAGAAGCCTTCGGGGGAGAACCTGGGGCCTGTGGGTGAGGGCGAGCACTGCGCCCTCAATAACCTGGGGTCCCAGGACGTGGGGTCTGGGAGGGCAGCTCCCACGCGGGCCTGCGCTGGGGACCGGCCCGGCCACTGGTATGTGGCGCCTGCTTCCCGCTCAGAGGCTCACCTTCCGGAAGTCAGTCACCCCCACGAAGCCCGTGCCCGCCTCGTCGTAGGACTTGAAGGAGCGGCGCATGGCCCGCCAGCAGTGCATGATCTTGGGCTGGATGCGCAGCAGCGCCGAGTAGAAGGAGGACGTCTCGGTCCCGGCTTCTTTCTGGAAAAGAGAAAAAGGAAACCGCCAGGAGCGTGAGAAGGGGCGCTGGCCTGGGCAGGTGCCGTGGACAGGCCGCCTGGGGAGTGGGGAGCCGGCTGTGAGCCCCCTGCTCATTCCCACCGCCCCCTCCCTGCGCGCCCCTCGCCCTGCGCACCCCACAGGCTGGCTCCCGGCCAGAATGGAGCGGGACTCATAACAAGGCTGCCCGCCACCCCGCTGTTCACGGCTGCTCTGTGCGGGGCTGTTGAAAACACCATTTCATCTCCACCTCCCTCCCCTCCTCCCCAAGCTGGGAGGAGGTAGGTCTCTCCACCCCCGTTCCATGGATTGGGCAATGGAGGCTGGGAGAGGCGAGGAGGAGGGGTGGGGGCTGACTGGGCTGTTGGCCTCCAGCAGTGGCCATGGCCTCCCCTGGAGGGAGGACCCAGCTACCCGCCAACTTCCAGACAGTTTTCGGACAGAAGAGGGTTCATGCGGGTTCCTTCTCGGTTGCTGTAATGCACAGGTGCTTAAACGGCAGGGCTGTAATTACATCTAGTAACGAGACAGTGCCGACACTGCGGTTATTTCGTTTAGGGGCGATCAGGTGGAGCCCCGCTACTCTAGGCTCTGCCCAGTGCCGGCCGTGTCACGGGTGAGCTGTGGGCAACACGGAGCGCTGGGGAGTCTAACGTTACAGCACTGCGAGCGCCACGCCCAGGGCCTCCCCTGCACATCAGTCTCAGCGCCTGGGACGGGTCGGCAGGCACCCAGCCGGCGGATCCGCCTGCGCAGAACACGGCGGCCTCTGCCCGCTGGCTCTCCCGCACCCGGCCGGGCCAGAGAGAGGGATTTCCCAACCCAGAAGGCCCCCGAGGAAAGCAGCCCCGCAGCTGCTGAAGGCTGCAGAGGAGGCCCCCAAAGAACCAGACAGAGAAATGGCACTTTAGCTTCTCCGCTGGGAGACTGCTGGCTATGCAGAGAGGTCAGGATGGGCTGGACCAGGCCGTGGGCACCGCCTGTCAGTCACGCCCAGGGCTGAACCATGGGTGTGGGCTGTGGCTGGGCCCTCTGCCTGGAGGCCCAGGCTCCCAGCAGGCCCTGGGAGCAGCCATCACTGCGGTAAACACAGTCAATCAGACCCGGCCCCCACCCCCACCCCCCCAGAGACGCCTTGGTTTGCTTCATGTTTTGGAAGGATGTGAGGCAGGTGAGTGGGTGAATGCGGTGCTTGAAGGGTGAGGGCGAGGGCCATTAAACTGCAAATGATGGAGGAAAAGCTAAACATGGGGAAGGGTGCCCCCTGCTATTTCAGCACCTTGGTCCTCTTCCCCTTCACAGAAACAGAAGAAAACGGTAGGTATGGTTTGTGCAGGAAAGATGGGGACTCCCCCCCGGCCCCCTTGCCGGAGAGGCCATCCTGGATGGCAGCTGTGTGGATATGCACGGTGTTCCAGCTGTAAAGGCTTCCCTTTGCCTGCCCCCTGCACCTCCTCCCCAGCTCGGCCTTTTCAGGGAACCGGCCCATCACTCTCCAGGCAGCGGGCGCTGTCCCTGTTGGCCACACGCATGGTCCGGGCGCTCTGGGAAGAGCCATGACAACCAGGTGTCTGCCACCCGTGTGAGTGGGAGAACCTGGGACTCAGGCTGCTGACTGGCCCCCAGTCTGGGTCTCAGGAAGGAAGTCTTTGCAGCATTTCCAAGGGAGGACGCTTGGAGCTGTGTGCGTGCTCCCAAAGCCCAATGGGCACTCACCTTCACCCCAAGCTCCCGCCTCCCCGCCCGAGCTCCGCGTCCCAGGCACTGGCTGCGGGCCCACTGGCCTGACCCAGTGGCTATCCGCTCACCTGACAACTGCCCGGAGCTGGACAGGCCTTAAGGAATGGAGGACGTGGGGTAGCAAAGGATCGCTTGACAAGTGCATGGACACACGTCATATGTGTACATACATATATCACACATGTGCACATTTATATTATCCAGGTGGCAGCGAGGCTGGCGACACCCGTTAGGGCAGTGGTTCCCAACCTGTGGGTCGCGATCCCTTTGGCGGTCGAACGACCCTTTCACAGGGGTCGCCTAAGACCATCCTGCATATCAGATATTTACATTATGATTCATCACAGTAGCAACATGACAGTTATGAAGTAGCAACGAAAATAATGTTATGGTTGGGTCACAGCATGACGAGCTGTATTTAAAGGGCCAGAAGGGTGAGAGCCGCTGCGACAGGGGGTCCTCGCTAGCTGGCCCCTCCCGCAGCCTCTGCATTGCTGTGCCCACCTTTATAGGAAGCGAGGGGATGCAAACTCGTGATGAGCTGGGGAACATGGGACCCTTTACCCCCAGACCCGCACGCGCTCCTGGCCGGCCTCGTACCATCTTGTCTGCATTCTGGATCTTCATCCTCTGCATCAGCGAGGTCTCCTTGGCCCTCAGCCGCAGGACACAGCTCTGGAGGAAGTCGCAGTAGGCAAACCGCCCGTTGTCCTTGAGGTCATACTTCACCGTCAGCTGCTGGCTCTCCTCCTTGCTGAGGTCCAGCTTGAATTTCTCCGCGAGATCTAAGGGTGAGAGTGCAGTTCAGTCGGTGGCACTGCATTCATCCAGCCATTCATCCATTTGCTTGTTCATTCATCCATCCATTCGCTCATTCATTCATTCGTTCATTCATTCGTTCATTCATTCATTCTTTTGTTCATTCATTCGTTCGTTCATTCATTTGTTCCTCACTTGCTGAGGTGCCATCTCTGCTTGCGACCCATTTTACAGGCTCATGGGCAGTGGCTGGACAGAGTGGAAACAGACGTGCACACGGCAAGCTAAGTGTGGTGGAGGGAGGGGAGCCTGCAGCCTGCTGGCCCCACCACCTGGCTTTGCGCAGTCACCGTCGCCGGGCACAGCAGTGTGGACAGAGTGCCGTGGGAGCTACGGCCAAGGAGCGGGCGGGGAGAGCAGAGCCGGGGGTCCGGGGAGGGAACTGTCCGAGCGAAGGCTCAGAGTCAGGCCGAGCCTGTGTGAGCGGACAGGCAGCTCCACGTGCTGAGTGGGCCTGGAGCTCAGGCTGGGCCTCCGACCGGCTTTGGAGGCGCGCTCCCCGGGGTGCGGCGGCTGTGCGGACCGCAGGCTGAGTTCTCGTGTCAGGGGCGCTCTCGGGCGTGCCGTGCAGGTCAGGGCGGAAGTCTGGGCTCTGACAAGGACCATGTGGCCACCACGTCAGTGGGTCCTTCCAGCTGCCCCGAGGCTGGCACATGTCGGTGCCAGGCTCCCAGCTCCCCTCGCTCGCTCTCAGGCGCAGCTCTGACCAGAGACAAAGCTCCAGCTGCCTGTGCAGTGGTGACTGAGCGTGGAGACTCCAGAGCATCAGGTTTTAGTTTAAGGTGGATCAATGAGACTCCCTGTGACATCACAAAAGCAACTAAGTATGGAGGCGGGCAATGCTAGCTGGTTACTGAGGCTGAGGAGCAATGCCAACACAAGTGGACGCTATGGAAACAGGTGCATCCCCCGAGCGCGGCCGGGAGACCCGCGTGCATGCGCGGCAGGGGTCCCTGCGCCCCGCACCGAGGTCACGGAGCCACGGGACAAGCTGGGGGTTGTGGGCGGGGCTATGGAGCCTAGAGGAACTGTGAGCAAGTGCTGCTGATGCTCCAACTTGCATAGACCACCAGCAGGACAGAGAATGTAGAATGATTCGGGTACATTTTTACGGTGTTGAATTTGAATGGAATACTAAGGCAGGCAAGCCTGTCTGAGTCATGGATGGGCGGCTGAAATGAGTTCACGGTTAAAAAGGAAAAACAGCGATGCTGCTAATGACAACAAAAATTAAGGCCCATGTGGCTCATAATGAAAAGAATTAACTAAGAACACGAGGAACTCAGGCAGGCAAAGCAGCAGTCATGGCCATGAAATCAACGGAACAACATTGGATTATGACTAATTTCATATTCTTGTATTTATGTGTGTTGGGGTAAGAACAGTTCACCTAAGGAGTTCACACGTCGTTTCGTTTGTGCGTTCTGAGGCCATGGCTATCACAAAAGTAAATTCTATGAATACTGGGTTTCCCAAGAAAAACGCTTTCCTGAGAAGGGGCCAGGACATCAGCCAACAAGACGGAGCTGAGGGCTTCAGGCAGAGGGGTGAGGGGCCAGATCGATTTCCCTGGAATTAAAATGCTGCACAAACCCTATGCAACAGCTGGCGGGAGTGTCCCAGTGCTGCGCAGAGTCGCTGGGAGCTGTGTGGGGCCTGCGCGCCCGGCATCCGTCTCCGCCTGTCCCGCCCCTCGCTGTCAGTCGCTGTCAGTCATTAACATGCACACCCCCCCGGGACCACAGCCAGGTCTGTGCTCTAATGCAGGGGTGACGCTCAGCGGGAGTCCAGGTGGGCTGGGCATCCCTGTCCCTCCACACTTGTGTCTACCAAGGTCTCAGCCTGCCCTCGCCACCCAGATGCCTTCCCCCGGGGAAGGGCCTTGTGCCTGGAGGTGACCCTGTGTTACCCGGGACGGCCCGACGCACCTAGGAAGTCGGCCGCGGGGATGTCGCCCTGCCTGTGCGTGTCCCGCTCCTTGCACTCCCGCAGGAGCTCGCGCCAGCAGCCCTGCACCCGCCTCCGGAGCCGGCTCTCGGTGGGCTCGCAGTTCTGCAGCTGTGGGGTGCCCAGCACGGAGCCCGAGCTGCTGGCCGTCTGTGGGCGGAGAAAGAACTGTCTCACTGAAGGGTTAGAACGAAAGGAATGACAACCTGCAGCATGACTCCGGGGGCGAGATCCGCAATCTCACGGGAAGTATCATCTCAGAAATAAAATGAGGAGCAAACACAGATGGTAGTTTTGCCGCCTAACCTGGGTTTCCGCTGGTGGGCTGTGTTTGTGCCAAGTCACAGTGACTGCAGTACTTTTGGAAATAAGTATGTAGCCACGACTCAAATACAGAGAGATGCGAATTCAATGTCACTGGTGCGCGTGCGTGTGAAGTGACAATGACATATTTTCACCAGGTGAAGTGTCTTATGAAAGAAAGGGACTCACTTGTCATTTGCAGGGACGCCCACCCCTGTACTCGCCCTGGAATATGGGGTTCCCTGAAATTCTGTGGACCACGGAGGAGGCTGTTCTTGTGTTGTGTTTTCCATTTTTTGTTAATCCTCACCTGAGGATATTTTTCCATTGACTTTTAGGGAAAGTGGAAGAGAGAGGGAAAGACAGAGAAAAATCGATGTGAGAGAAACACATTGATTGGTTGCCTCCTGCACGAGCCCCGACCAGGGCCTGGGCTGGGGAGGAGCCTGCAACCAAGGTACACGCCCTTGACCGGAACGGAACCCGGGACCCTTTGGTCTGCAGGCTGACGCTCTACCCACTGACCTAACCAGCTAGAGCGTATTTTCCACTTAAAAACAGAACTGACTCTGGCCCCGACGTCCCCCTGAACGCCACCTGGGCACCTGGCCGGCGCATGGCTGTCTACTGTGTGACCAACTCGGTTGAATTCCTGGTCTTTCTGCCAAACCCTCTGCCGCCTGTGCCGCCCCATCTCGGGCGATGACAGGCCCATCCTCCCGTCCCCTCCCGGGCTCCTCTGCCTCCTCGAAGCCCACACAGAGAGGGTCCGGATGTCCTGTTTTCTCCGCCTCAGAGATGCTCCGAGTGTCTGATACGGGCCCAGCCCGGGGCCACAGGCTCTGAGCCCGCCCGCCGCGCCCGCCCGCCCGCCCGCCGCGCCGCAGCCCAAGCCTCATGCACACGCGGCCCCGCCGCCGTCAGCCCTGCGCTCGGACGCCCGAGGCCACGCGCTTCCTGTGGCAGCTCTCACAGGCCTACAGGCTTGGCGGCTTAAAACAACCCACTTTACCCTCTCACAGCGGTCGCGGTGTGGGCAGGGCTGTGCCTTCCTGGGGCCAGAGGGAGACCCCAGTTCTGGCCTGTCCCCTACAGAGCCCAGGATGTCGGCTCACCTTTCTCTAACCGCACCTCTCCACGGGACCCTTCGCCTCCCTGGTCCCCACCCGCAGGCCCCTGATGGCCGTGCACCCAGGGGCTTGGAAAGGCCCGTCCTAGTCAGCGGGTCAGCAACTAATTCCATCTGCGACCGTGACCCCTGCCACGTGCGGCCCTGCCCCAGGCCGGGCACTGGGTCGGGGACATCTTCGGGGGCTCCTGACCCTCCTCTATGCACCATCGTTAACTTCCCGCGTTCACTGTTCGCTGCCCACCATCCCCGCCCCACCCCCCCCCCCCGCGCCCGTGGGCCCCACAGGGCAGGCACTGCTATTCTCAGCCATCAGAGGACCAGCTCCTGTGGGTGCGTGTGCGCGGAGGACAAGACGAACTCCTCAGGGAGCTCAGCGGGCGGAGGCACCCTGGCGGCTGGCCTCTCAGCCCCCCTCCCCTACAAGCTGTCACTCTCCCTGCTGAGGAGGCGGGGCCTCGGGGCCGCCCCTCCCCCACCAGGCTGGCCAGGGCTGCAGTCAGACAGGCTGGGGTTTGAAATCGGGTCTCCAGGTGCCTGTCTGAGGGGCCCTGAGTGCGTGAGGCATGTGCACTGTGGGGCAGGGGGAGGGGGGGCGGGGGGGGGCGGGGGGGCAGGCTTCCCTGGGGCACAAAGCGGGCAGCTCCACCACAGGGCACCACTCACCTACTCGGCTTTCTGGCCGGGATGATGGCAGTCTGGCTGCCATGAGTCCCTGTCTCCCCACACCTCTTCCTGCCTCCAATCCTCCTTACTCACCCCTTCTCTCCCCCTCCCTCCCCTCAGGCCGGCTCCTGCCCTATGACCCCACCCCAGGCTCCCCTGTGCGCCTCCCCAGACACCCATGGGAACACAGGGGACCCACCGGGGGGCCTGCGGGCCTGGGCAAGGCAACGTGGACCCCAGGGTGAGAACTCACACACTGCTGGCTCCGCAGTTTGGTCCCTGCTTTCGGGGAGTCTTGGGTGGGTGGTGACCCCACAGCTCTGCCTCCTTCCGAGGTGGCGGGGACGTCGCCCCTTCTGTGGGCCTTGGCCGAGTTGCCGCTGCTGGGCGGGGTGGCTGTCTTCTCGGAGCTGAACCTGCTCAGGAAGTCCAGGTACCGCAGCCGCCCCTTGGCGGTGACCGGCATCTCCTTCCAGAGCCTGTCGAACTGCGAGGAAGCAGAGGGCAGGCCCAGGGTCAGCGCAGACCACTGGGCACCCGCCCGGGGAGGCAGCCCTCATGTGGGTGGGGCTCCAGCTCAATAAAAAATTTAGAAAGAAAACCGATTCAGCCTCCACTCGCTCGGTGGAAGCCTCCAGAAGCCTGAACAAACGAGGACAAGAGGATGTTCATGGCTCTGAGGGACCTTTTTAAATTGGTTGGGCCTCCGTGAGCAGCTTAAGCCTGAAACCGTGTGATCGGTCATGAGCAGAGCCAACCCCTGGCCTGTGGTCCTGCCTGCCCAGCCAGACTCCCTCCTCCTCTTCCTTCTTCCCTCCTCCTCCTCCCTCCTCCCCCTCCTTCCTCCTCTCTCTCCTTCCTCCCCCTCCAGGCACCTGACTCCTTCCTCCTCCTCCTCCTCCTCCTCCTCCTCCTCCTCCTCCTCCTCCTCCAGGCACCTGACTCCTCCCTCCTCCTCCCCCTCCCCCTCCTCCTCCCCCTGCAGGCCCCCGACTCCCTCCTCCCCCGGCAGGCCCCCGATTCCCTCCTCCCCCGGCAGGCCCCCGAGCTCTGCAGGCAGCTCCCCGTGACAGCCTCGGCCTGTGCTGGCCTCCACAGTTTACCCCCGAGGTAATGCTGCTCACACAGGTGGCAAGGCAGGCGTCTGGGATCCCGGGAGAGGCTCGGGCCTTGCCCGGGCGCTGTCTGGTATCACGGGCTGTGACAGAGCCACACGCAGCGGTACGGACACAGCCAATGACCCAGTGCCCCCCGAAGGAGCCACTGCAAATGGGCCCGGGCCTTCAGGGCGCCAGGAAGGGTGTAACTTGCTTGCAACTGTGTTTTTATGACCCTAAGGCCCCGTGGAGCCCCGCCTCCGGCACATGTGGGGGAGCAGCAGCTCCGATCAGCAAAGGAGGGACTGTCCCTGCCCTTCCCACGCACCCGGCGTTGGCCAGACACCCAAGTCGCTCCTGGGCTCCCCTGGGGTTTTCCAGAAGCAAGTGAAAGGGACTGCGTCTGTTCCAGGTCTATTTGGAATTCTGGGAATGACGCTGTGAGGGGTGAGGGGTGAAGGGAGAATGTTCTTGGCCCCGAGAGGGGAAGATGGTTTAGTTGAGGACAATATTCCTGATTTATTTCTTTAACTTGTTCTTTCAAACTAATCATAGGTTTGCAGGAAGTTGCAAGAATGGGACGGAGAGGTCCCCCGTCCCCTCCATCCCGTCTGGACCCACTGCAGAGCCAGGAGCTGAGGGCGCAGCAGATGCAGGTCCCTGAGGAAAAGCTACTGGTGGGGAGAGGGGCCTGGAGAAACCACCGCCTTCCCAAGCAGCACAGCCTCCCCCGCCGCTGCCCAGCTCACGCCTCCCGTCTGCGGGCCTGACGGCGGGGACGCAGGCCGTGGCGGAGACGGGCTGCGTGTCTGTAGGAAGCAGCCTTTACACATACGTGCTTGACTGGGGGGGAGGGCCGATGTGCTGGGGACAGTGAAGCTCTTAGAGGAAAATTAACATCCAGTTCCCTGTTCTGAGCGGCACATATGCAGAGCGCCATTCATCCCATCTATAATTAGAGTAAAATTGTCCCCAGTTCAATGAGAAGCCTTTATTAGGAGAGCCTTCATTAGGTGGCCCCGTAGAATAAGAAACGCGCATGTATTCATCTGAAAGGCTTCGCTCGCTTAGAGTGACAGCAGTTCCTGCTCGAGGGGACAGAATCATTGGGAATAGCATTTCATGTTATTTCGCCAAAAGCATCAGAACGCCTGAAAAAGCTGACGTCTCAGCAAAGGTAAGTCTGATGCTCATCTGATGAGTGTCTCTGACGACTTCATCCTTCTGGGTAGTGAGGTCCAGGCCTAAGAGGGGTGAGGGCGTCTTGCTGACCGCCCCTCCCCGTGGACACTCCTCCAGTGAGGGGAGGACCCAGCTTCCAGGGGAGGGGGACATTTCCATGGGCCTGCAGGAGGCTCCGGGCTGAGCCTGAGCAGGACCAGGAGGGGCGGGGGAGCGGCCTCCATAGTATGTGGGGTTTCCTTCTGCTCCCGTTACCCTTGGGAACCGGGCAATGGTGTCTTTGAGGACTGGAGTGGGCCTGTACCAGGGCAGCATTTTGGGGTGCAGGGAAACCCTCTTCTGCGAGGGGGTCACTGGTGCTGTGCTGTCAGCTGTTCTGTCCCTGGCTTCCGGGGGTAGAGGGTGCACCTACACTGGACACTGTTCACTCCTGGGACCTGCTGGGCCCCGGCTGTGCCAGGTTCTGCTTTGCATTTGGGGTACAGTGAGGAGCAAGCACCCCCGCACCCTCAGCTCTCCAACGGGCTCAAGAGAAGTTCTGATTGTGCAGGTATCTGGCCTTTTCTCGTTGTTGGGATGAGAGTGGCACCCTGTCGCTTGTGGACAGTGGGAGAGCCGGGGTGGCATGCCCGCAGCGGGCGTGGGGAGCAGCCCCAGAGCATCGGGAGCCCAGCTGCAGAGCCAAGGACCAAGGAGGGTGAGGCGGGAGCCGGACGAGCCGCCTGCAGGCTCCAGGAGGGCCGCTCAGTCGGTCAGGGCGGGACTGGCCGCCTCCGCTCTCCCACGCCCAGGGCTGCTGCAGGGGCGAGGAGCAGCACAGTGCGGCTGGAGCTAAATGCAATTTGACTTTAAAAAGAAAAGTGAGCCCTGGCCAGTTTTGCTCAGTGGATAGAGCATCGACCTGCGGACTCAAGGGTCCGGGGTTCAATTCCCGGTCAGGGGCACATGTCTGGGTTGCAGGCTTGATCCCCAGTGTGGGATGTGCAGGAGGCAGCCAATCAATTATTCTCTCTCATCACTGATGTTTATATCCCTCTCTCCCTCTCCCTTCCTCTCTGAATCAATAAATATGTGTAAAAGAATAAAAAATAAAAGTGACCCTTTTTGCTCCGATAGAAATGGTGCCATCCATGCCTGTTGCAGACACAGAGGGCTCTGCGAGTCTTCAGTGAGGTAAAACAGAACAGCCACAGCCACAATCCCTCCCCAGAACAAACAAAACCCAACCCCCCACCGTTCAGGCATTTCACAAGGAGGGTTTGGCTAGCACTCCGCGGCGGGCGGGGTGGCGGCCTTGCTCGGGCCGCGCTCAGGGCGCCAACCCAGCGCCCAGTACCTGCTCGTCCGTCAGCACTTGGACGTGGCGCGTGCAGACGGCCCGGAACTCCTCCCGGGAGACGGTGCCGGCCTTCGCGGTGTCGAAGTTCTGGAACTCCTGGGCGATGGCCTGGTAGCGGGCCTCCACGGCTCTGTGCAGCCGGGCCAGGATCTCCCGGTTGGCCACTTCCTTGGGAGACCTGGGGGGCGGGCCCTTGGGCATCTTCTCGGCCCACTCAGTGGCATTCTGGGAAAAGAGAAGGGAAATGGATCCCATTAGTAAATACAGATGGTCCCTGGGCTCTGGGCCCGTCACCCGCAGGTCCTGGGAGTCCCAGCTGAGGAAGATGGCCTGGAGACAAAGGTGGCCCTGACACGGGTCTACACAGGCCCCGAACACGGGCTCCTACTTAGCTGCATTAAGGAGCAAAACTGAGTCCCCCCACAGGGCAGGGCGACAGGGGCCGGCCTGGCGGGCTCAGCTTTCACGTGCGTCCATCCGCTGGTCTCCGTCCCTCTGAGGAGGGCAGTGAGTGCCTGCTCTGCCTGGTAAGGGGCTCACCAGGGCCGGGCCTGCCGCCTGCTTCCATCTCAGACTCCCTTCTTCACCACAATAGGAGTCAGAGGGCAGTGCTGAGGGCTGTCCCTGCTGCAGCCCCGCTCCTGGCTAAGGGCCCCTCACGTGGGAACCCTTCGAGGGGGCACGGGGTGCGGGGAGGTGGGAGAGCAGCCCTCTCCGGCCTTGTGACTGTCCACAGTGCTGGGGCAGGACAGCCTGGGCTCCGGGGAAAAGGGCCCGCGAGCGGGGGCCACAGAGGGCTCCTGGGAGGTGAGGTGGGAGGCCCGGGAGGGCAGCAGCCCACACTCAGCACCCGCTGAGCCTGATGTGGGCAGATGGGACAAGAGGACCAGCAGGCAAAGGGGAGGGACTGGTGACCGTCAGCGGAGGCTGGAGCCGCGAGGATCTCTGTCTGTCCTGGGGGCACCGGGGAGACTGGGCCCCACGAGGAAGTCAGGCGTGGGAGACGGGGCTCAGAGGGCGAAGCCATGGGGGCAGCTGGCCCTGAGCCTCCTGCGAGGAGAGGCCCGGAGTGGGTGGGGCAGGGGTGTGTGCGGGAGGCAACCAATTGAGGTGTCTCTCTCACATCGCTGTTTCTCTCTCTCTGTCTCGCCCTCCCCCTTCCACTCTCTCTAAAAATCAATGGGAAAAAAAATCCTTGGGTGAGAATTAACAACAAAAACTAGATAATTTTCACATTGGTCAGAGTATTCCAGAATATGGAAAGGGAGACACAGCAGCCCAGTTGGCCATAGATTACCCCACTCTAATACCTAACAGAAAAATAGGATAAACCAAATACTTTAAGGAAAAAATATAAACCAACCTAATTTATGGACATTAATGCAAAGACATGAATATTTTTTAAAAGAAAGCCACTAGGAATGTTTAGCACCACATTTAACACATTGTATGCGGGAAATGTGTTTACACGTTTTACGTATTTATACGTTCTACCAGTGGAGTAGAGCGCGGGACACATATTAATACGTTTTTTATAGACTAGCGGTAGAATGCGGGTAACGTATAAATACGTAAACTAAAGTTATCATAATTTTACTGAATGTTGCCATTTGCGCAAAAAATTAGCAAAAATGGCCTGCGCCACCTGTTAGCGCGCGATAAAAACTACCCGCAAACAATGTGTTCGGACCGGCACGCCCAGTTTAAGCAGGGTTTATTCCAAGCATAAGGATCTTTGAGAATTAGCAAATCCTTCCATTAGCAAAGCTCATGTCAACAGAGGGCAAAAGGCGTCACATCCCGGCCGCCACCCCTGCTGGAATGGTGCGAGTGGACAAACCATGGAGAAACGAGGTGCACGCCCCTCGTGGCTACTTGGCCCTCAGGGAGTCTGCTAGGCGCCATCTGCAAGCACACGATGTGGGGGAAATGCTAAGCATTTCCGTCCGAGTCAGAGATGAGAGGCACCTGTCGGCCCTGCTAGTCACACGCTTAGGGCCTCCAGCTTCTGGGATAAGGCAAGATGGTGAAATGAAGCTTCAGCAGAAATAAACATTGAAAAAATAAGATTTATCCTTGTTTGTGGGTAGGAGTCTACACCTAGAAAATCTCAGAACCATCAGGAAAGTGGCTGGATCCAAGCTAAACACATCACAAAACAACACTGGGTTTTAGTCCCATATAATAAAAGCTTAGTATGCAAATTGTCCCCTTGACTGGGAGGTTGTCTGGGAGTTTGACCAGGGGGTGGGGCTGGCCGGGGGAAGGGAGGGAGGCCCCGGCAGCCACTCGGGACCCTCCCAGTGCACTAATTTTGTAGTAATTATAACCAGTTAGAAACTGTACTGTGAACTAACTCCACAGTCACACAGAGGACAAGGCTGCAGAGTGCAAACCTCGATCAAGAAATGTGCACATTGGATGGGAGGTTATTACAGAGAGACTGGAACGAACGGAGAGACGTACTGTGTACCTGGATGTGAGAAAATTTATCATTTCCAAAGAGAAGAGTGTAAGTAAATGTAGTAAGATTCTAATAAAAATACCCATGGACATTTGGAGGAATTATTAGACATACTGATATTAAAGCTGCTATCTATAATAATAAAAGCATAATATGCTAATTAGAACGGACAGCCAAAAGTCCTTCTGGATGTCCTTCTGGACCAGTGGTTCTCAACCTTCCTAATGCCGCGACCCTTTAATACAGTTCCTCATAAAATTATTTTCGTTGCTACTTCATAACTGTAATTTTGCTACTGTTATGAATCGTAATGTAAATATCTGATATGCAGGATGTATTTTCATTGTTCGCGACCCACAGGTTGGGAACCGCTGTTAAATCTGGACAAAGCCGCGGTCAAGGGGGGCCAAGGAGGGCAGAGGGCAGCCACGGCAGCAGGGTGATCAGAGCAGCATCTTCCCCTGATCAGCCGGTTGCCTCCTGCAGAGGGAGGCCAGACTGTGCTTAGGCCCGCTTCCCATGGGCCTCTGGGAGCGGGCCTAAGCCATCAGTAGGACATCCCCTGAGGGCTCCCGACTATGTGAGGAAGCAGGCTGGGCGGAGGGACCCCTCCTCCTCCCCGCCGTGTGCACGAATTTTTGTGCACCGGGGCCTCTAGTGGAAGAGTAAGTCCATGAGCACTGCCATGACACTTTGGAAAAGGCTAGTAAGGAAGTTCTGGACCTACCAGATATTACAATGCCATGAACATGATGTGACCAAGATGGACAGGGAGGTCTGTAAATACGCAACAACCCGCGGAGACCCACTCTGACTATTAGGGAAACTGCTCTGCACTGCGGCTGAGCTGTTATGTCACAGGCCCATTTGTTACAGCATCACACATCACAGAGACAGGGCGGTGGGCCCCAGGGTAACCCTGGGCAAGGCAGAGCACCCAGTTCCATGAGGGAGGTTCTTTCTTCCCTCCTGGGCCATTAACTTTCAAACACAGGCCTGCTGAAGGCTCCACCTCAGCCAGAGGTGTGTCCCTCCAGCCGCTTAGGCCCGGAGTCCCCGTGACATTCCTTTCTGTCACCACATCCAAACCCCGCGCAGACCCCACGGCCCCGCTTGTGGTGTGGACCCCCCTCGCCGCCGGGCCGGGCCGGCCACGCCTGGCACGGATTACTCAGCACTCTCTGCTTCCGCTCAGTCCCTTTCCCAAGGACGGTCTTCCTAAAGCACTCACACCTGCGCACTGCACGCTCCACGATGGCGCGGCGGGCGTGGGAGTGGAAGGCGGATACCTGGGAGCCAGGAGTCTGGCAGGGGTCCCGAGGCCGGGGGTGGGGGCCGTCTGGTTGGGAGGGACGCTCATGAGGGGCTGGTCTCGGAGCTCCGCTAGATGAGCCTGAGAAGGTCCCGGATGTGACTCTGGCCCCTGCCATCCACCTGTGCAGAGCTCAGGCCCCTCCTGGGTCCCAGAGTCCCAGCCTGAGGGTGTGACACAGGAGCAGGTGAAGTGCTCACAGAGGATGAGCACCTGACACGCCCAGTGGCCGGCCACTCGGGCTCCCAGGAGACCTGCGGGAGCGGGGCACGCACTGACCCTCTGGTAGCGTCAGCGCAGGCGGGCTGAGCAGAGGATGACCAGGCGTGTGCTCTGAGGCGAGGGGGCCCTGGGCCGTGGACACACCTGACGCAAGGGCCTCCGAGGAGGAACCGCAACCCGGGAGTTAGAGGAAGTGCAGGTGCAAATCCACTGACCACCTGTGGCCACAGGTGTCACTGTCCCCCCTCAGCGAGCTGATGGACGCGCAGGGAGGGGCCGGGGAGGGCTGGAATCAGGGAACCAGCAGAGGGGGTGCTGCCGGCGCTGCCTGCAGAGGGGCGACCCTCTATCACCTGCCTGAGCGCAGCAGGAGGCCAGGCCTCACGGGGTGGGAAGGGCCGGAAGGGGGTGCACGTGGCTGGATACAGCTTTCGGAAGGTGCGTTTGCCACCAGTGCAGACATCCCTTCACTGTTCGCAAAAGTAATCATTGTGTGTTCGCTGTAAAGACTTAGAAACCACAGGCACAAAGAAAAAACAAGCCCTAGCCGGTTTGGCTGAGTGGATAGAGCGTCAGCCTGCAGACTGGGGGGTCCCAGGTTCAATTCCAGTCAAGGGCATGTACCTTGGTTGCAGGCACATCCCCAGTAGGGGGTGTGCAGGAGGCAGCTGATCGATGTTTCTCTCTCATCTATTTTTTTAACTCTCTCTATCCCTCTCCCTTCTTCTCTATAAAAAAAAAAAAATCAATAAAATATGTTTTAAAAAAAAAGAAAAAGAAAAAACAAAATCCCCAGCAACCCCCGCGGCACTGCTGCCCCTGCCCAGGTGCACGAGGGACGGGCCGCTGACCCGAAGGTCCCAGGCCCCGAGGGCGTGCCCCAACTGCTCCCACCCCTGAGGCCACTCCCCCAGCAGAGCCTCCGGAGGACAAGGCTGGGGGCCTGGGAGGCGCCCACATTCGGACTCCAGGTGCGCTCAGCTCAGCGCCCGCCGCGGCCAGCCTGGCTCTGGAGATGGCTCCTGGTCTGGTGCGTTTGTGTCCCGCACTTGTCAGGTGATCATCAGTCTGAATGGGGAAAACTGCGCTTTTCCTAGAACTAGAAGAAATGCATCTCCTAATCGGAAAAGACACAAAGAAACAATGTCCCAACAGATGGAGCCTAGGCCCCGAGAGCCGACCAATCACGTCTCCCTTTCATGGAGTGCGCCTCGATTTTAAAGCACC